CCCCCCCCACTCTCTCTCTCTCTCTCTCTTTCTCTCTCTTTCTCTCCCGCCCCTACTCGTTTCCGCGCACCCCACCCCACCGAGCTTCGGCCGGCCGACGTCGCCGGCGTCCTCGAAACGCCACCCCGTGCCGTACGTACCCGTACGTACGTAGGTACGTTACGTTACCTACGTGCACAGGCAACGGCCTTCCACCGAAGAAGGGAACGCGCGCTCTAGGGGTGGCTGCTGCTCCGCATGTCTCTCTCTTTCTCCGTCCGGCATGCACCACCCTGTTCATCGGCCCGCCTCTTCGCCCCGCTACCGCCGTCGCTGCCACCACCCCCTTCTTTTCCCTCTTAGGTGAGATAATACGGACTATAAGCCGAGCAATTCGGGGTTTGGCTCGCTCGGTAATGCCGTAATAAAATCATACTCCCATCAAACGGCGCTGCGCGCACCCCCTTGAGACGATCAAGGAAAAGAGAAAGCCGGCAAGAGGCAGAGAGAGAGAGAGAGAGAGGGGGAGTAGGTAAAGGGGTAGAAGACGCAACGAAAATCTTTTTCTTCCCCCTCCCCTCTTCTCTCTCTCTTTCTATCTATCTATTTATCCATCTACCTTCCTCTCCTCGTTCGGCGGGTGGTCGCAGGAGGTGAGCGGGGCGGGAGGATAAGCGGCTCGCGCGCACGGTACCAAGGGAGGAAAAAAGCCTGGAGATTCGCATTCCTTTGGTCCCAACGATTGGATTTTATTTGACGAAGCCGCCCCGCGGACCGTCCAATCGCCTGCCTCGCCGTCAGAAGCCGGTCACGCCCATTTACCCCTTTGCACCCCATCCCCCATTCGACCGCCACCTCCGCGCTCTCTCGCTCGCACCCTTCCTTTCTCGCGTATCGCTCGCCTTCATTCTCTCTCTCCGTACCTTCGCCCCCTTCGTTCGCCTCGCGTCTCCCGCGCTCTCATAGTCGACACTACCCCGTTTGCTCTCTTTCGGCGGGGGTAGGGGTTGCGGCCCTCTACACTCTTATCAACTTTATTATCTCGCACTACTACCCGGCGAGCACCTGCGCGCGCGCGCGCGTATTATCGTGTTCGCGTGTTCGTGCATGAACTTGGGGCAGCGTGAGAGGGTACGATGTAATTTTCTTGTAGGTGTAGGTAATTATATTATCGCCGCTCGCAAAAGGGAGGGAGGAAGAGAACGAGCTTCGCAGCGTCCCACCTACCCTCTCCCTCTAAGCACGCTGGTATAATAATAATGATAACAATAATGGTGATAATAATAATAACCGGTGGCGGGAAGCGGGGGGGGGGGGCTTGGCTAACGTCCACAATCGCGCCGACTCCTCCGGATCGCGCGGTAATCACGCGGTAATGACGATATTGATATTATGAAGTCGTTCGCGGGAGTATTATATAACTAGCGGCGCGCGCGCGGCAGAAATAGAAGCGATAATTGTAGTTTCTACCAGCAGCGATAAAGAGATCCCTTTCGCGTTTCCGCTCGGTCGCCGAGGAATTATAAAAAGCTCGCTCTACTTTATACCGTGTAACGCGAATGAACGCGCTTCTCTCGCTAGGGTCGCAACGACTCCCTCTCTCATTGCACATTTCTAAATATCACAGCTATGTTTCATGACGAAAATTTCACCGGTCTCGAATATCTTCTTTTTCCACACGATTTTCTTTATTATTGGCATTAAACGTCAATCTTGTTGAATATTATGTCGCGTTTAATGCGGGGATAAGAAGCTGACTGTGTTGGTTCACCTTTTGTGAGGAAATCTGTATTCAGAGAATAAATGCTATGTGTGTTTGAATACATATATATATATATATATATATATGTGTAATATGTAATAATAAATATGTAAAAAAAAATTTATATATATACACATGTCCCTCTCTCTCTCTCTCTCTCTCTTTCAAGGAATATTTCCAGCAGGAACAATATATAATGAAAAAATGAATTATCTTTAAGAATACCGTTTGGAAATATCAGTCAGAAAGGTATATTGCGATACGGATATTTCCCATCCACTTTACTACACACAGGAAAGCTCCGTTCATAAATCATGTATTTCATATGGCGGCGCAGGAAGGTGGTCTGCCGAATGTAGGAACAGAGAGTTTCATAATTACAATTGGCAATCTCGGCATCGTTACGCGGATCTCATCGTGCCGTCCACAGAGTAGGATTTTCCTTTTCCATCGACGAAACTTTTAATATGAAAAATGATCTCGACGTTCCACGGATCGACGACTCGACTTGAATCAACAGCCAAGTCGATCTCCGGAACCTCACGACGAAATGCTCCTCGTTGTAGCGACCACGGTGTCGTCACACGGCGACGGCGGCGCGTCGCCGTCAGTCGACGCGCGTAATTTCGTCACCCCTGGCTCGGTCCGAAAGTGACGCCGCAAGTGGACACATCCGCGTGCGCATTATCGTGGAAGGCGCGGCGCAAGCACGTTGCTGTCGGTGCCGGAAATGTCCGCAGGGTTAATTAAATTAACGACCGACGCCGGTGCGGCCGGCCAGACGCGCGTCCACGCGCTCGCTCGCTCGGCCACGTGCAAGCGCGGAAGCGTTTCTCCTGCACGGATGACGGGGCTCCTGACAGTGCGCGTGATAAGTCTCTCCTCCCGATGCTCGCCCCAAGAATTCCACATAAAAGTGGCGTACACGCGGCCATACATACATATGCCCCTTTTAAACGCGCGAGAATAAAGATCGAGGGAAGCGGAATGGGGGTGGATGACGACGATGACGACGAGGAAGGAGAGGAGGAACGAAACGCGGGAGAAAGAGCGAGAGGACAAGAAGACGGCGGAAAGGGTGGAAGAGGAGAGAGAAGACAAGGCGCAACGACGTGCACTGTACTTAAGTAGAGCCGCCGTCTATTACCGGAGAGGGCTGAAAACGCGGGCGCAGGGGGCCAGGCAATGGAGAAGGAAAGAAGGGGTGGAAAGAGCGAGGAAGAGCGGAAGAACGCAAAGGGAGAGAGAGAGAGAGAGGCCGGCGATGAGAGGTCGGGCGTACAGGGTGCCGCCGCGGCTTTTTCTTACACGATTTTCCACCCTCTATAACGGCGTCCACCACCGCACCGCCGACGCGCCGGCCACGTGGTGGTGGAGGGTTGGAGGCAGCCAACGCGAAGCGTGCACCGCGCGCGCCACCCTACCCACGGCATTCGAACCCTCCCAACCCCCGCTGGCTCCCCTCTCGCCTAGACGGCGGCGGGGATTGGGATGCCGCGACCACGCCTACGCTTCGGAATCACCTCTAGCTCGTCGACGTCACGACTTATCACCCTCTCAGCGGCGGCGGCGGCGGCGACGGTGACGGCGGCGACGGCGGCAGCGACGGTGGCGGCGGCGATGGTGGTGGCAGAGAGATGGAGGTGGCGGAGTGGTGGTGGTTGCGGAGAAGTGGATTGCGTGGAAGCGGCGAGGACGGAGGATCGAAGGAGAGGAGACGAACGGAGGAAAAAAGCAGGCGAAGGCGATCAACGAAGGGGGAAAAAAATAATGAAATGAACATCGAGAGGGAATCGCAGAATTATTATACGAGCACCGGCGCGTGCGGGAGGCTGGAGGGGTCGGGGGTTCGATTCAGTTAGCTTATATTAATTGAGGGGCGGTTCACGGGTCGCGCGTATAGGTATACTTCCGGTCAAGGTGGTGTATCGCCGAAGAGAGCGATTCGTTTCACGACGGGAGCACGACGACCGGGACGACAGAGGAGAGGAGGAGTTGGAGGGAGAGGGTGGGATAATTATTCATTCATCCGACGCGATGAACTAGTGAGCGCGGCCACGTGGCATGGCGATATCGTTGTACGTAAAAATGATATGAAGAATAAACGATGTAAGCTGCTTCAATTAGCCGATATAAATTGGGGGCGGTTCGACGCGGCGGCGGCGGTGATGGTGGTGGTGGTGGTGCCGCTGCTCCTGTTACTTCGCGAAAGGGGAGCGTGGAATGATTTATTTCGCGTGCGCGCGTGGGGCTAAAGTAATTATGGACTGACCCC